AACAGTAAATAGGAATTTTTGGTTTGTTATTTACTAATCACATTGGAATATCCTGATGATCAAGCAAAGCAACTGCCGAAAGATTCTGATTTAATGCAAAATTATAAAGCCACAACAAGAACAAATAAAAAAAGAGAGATAGAGACAAATTTCTTTTACACAAAAATTACTAAGTATCTTATAATTCTTTTTTTTTTTTTGCCAAATAGTACACTATAATTCACTTGAAAGAATGTTGGAACCCTAGTCTCGGGGACACCCTGAACTAGGTAATTTATTATAAATTTTTTAATTTTGATATAGATGACTTAATTTTAATTAAATTAATATTTATAATTGTAAATTAATTCAAACATATTTTAACATATAAAAAAAGGTTAGAAACAATTTTTACTAACTTTTTATTTAAGTGTGGCATAAATAAAATTATAAAACAATCCTCATACTTTGATCTATTAGGTTTAATCTTAGATTAGTATGAATCATCTTTTATAAATTATAATTCAAATTTCAAATATCCCTTTATCATATCTTTATTTAATTAATAAGTATTGTATTAATTTCCTTCTTTAAAAAAAAAAAAGGAAAGAAACTAGGAAACGAATTTATTTTTTTTTTTATTTATTTTATTACAAAGGCTCAATTGTGGATTTATCTTCTAACCTTATTCTTTGCTTTTGGGTCTGATTTTGGGCCTCAGAAATCAGAATCTTGCACTTTACAATTGTCTCCCATTCCGACCCAAAAAAGACAAAACAATGTCTACCTCGGAAAGCGATACGATTTGGTGGGCCCGTTTATCATCTCCACGTAGATCATCAGACGCTAATTTGTTGACACGTGTTGCCTTTCTCACCGTCATTTAAGGACCGCGTTACACGTCCGCCTAATTTCTTCTATTCCTTCATTTGTAATTGGAAGGAACGGTTTGCTTTGGTTATTCCCCAAACGTCGCCGTGATGGACGCTAAATGGGAGATGGACTCGTGACCTGCATCCCTTGAGTGGGGGTAGTGGGTACACCGAATTCCAAAAAGTACAATTGCTATTCATTTTTCTCAATTTTATTGTTCTTCTCACCATCTCATCCCATTTTCATTTTTCTTTTTGTCATTACAACTTACACACACTTACAATTGTACTTAGCATAAATGATAATAATTAAATATCAGTACAAAATTTATGAAAAATTTAAGAACAATTTAGTTTATGAATTTACATGAGTAGATAACTTTTTTATGGCTTAATGATTATCTTGTTTTATTAAAAAAACTTCTCATACTAAAAGTTAAAAGTATAATATTTAAATTTTACCATCAACATTCAAAAAATTTAAAATAATTTATATGAATAGAACCATTACCCGTGATTTGTATCATCACTATATGAGTGTTTTACTTACACCATCGTGATTCAACTCCATATCTCTATTCCTCCTCCTTCAATTACCCCAATTTCCGTCCACTTAAAAAGGAAAAATTTTTGTATGAGTAAAATTCATTATTTTCTTGAGCATTGATGTTTCAATTTGAAACTGATTCACGTGCAATTTTTTTTTAAATAACTTTATAATCATCATTTGACATGAATAAATAATATGTTAATTTACATGTTTTGTTGAGTGAAAGTAGTTTATTTATATTATTATTTAAGAAAGTGAAACTTTATTCTAAGAAAATATCATATTTTGTTTTGGATGAATAAAGGCAATCACTAAAAAGTAAAAACCCTGTGCAAACTACTGCAATTTTTTCTTTAACCTAAACTTATGATTTAATTTTTGTGTCACCTTGGCAAGAGATCGATAAAGTAATGGACTCCTTTGATAAAAGAGAAAGTGATATGGACTGGTCGTGAGGAAATTGTGTTTGTCCCAATCACCATCGAGTATTAATGAGACGTTGTAAAATTGGTTTCACAATGTTATTGGTGTAATAATACATATAAAATTATAAATATATCATTATAATATATTATTAATTAAATAACATATACAATATTATAAATAAACATTAAATAAAAAGTACAATAATACATAATTATTATAAATTTATAATTGAACGAAAGATTATTACTATATCATTTTCAAAATTAGTTATCATCATTATTAATTGGAGAAAAAGATTTAAGTTTTGTTTATAGTGCAAGGTGTATTATTTACTTAGAGGATGGGCATTTTTGGTTTTTCATTTTCCCTGTTCCGTGGAAGTGGTGGAAACGCTCCATGCATCAAATTGCAGGCTATTAATGGAGATGATGGCCATGGAAGCAACAGCTCATCCTTATAATTAGCACAATAATTGCACAACTTCAGTTTTCTTCCCCCCCAACTATAAATAAAAAGCTTAAAAACCGTCATTGAACGTCTGCCCTCCATCGTTGGCATTGATTGTTCGCCGCGTTCAGAGTGAGCTTGAAAAAAAAAAGATGAAGTTTCGGGGAACTCTGTTTTTCTGCATTTTACTTCTGTTTCAAGAAATTTGTCTCCTGGTGAGGGCAGATGATGGGTTTGTTTCTGCCAAAGGGGTGAAGCTCATGTTGAACGGGAATCCATTTTACGCAAATGGGTTCAATGCTTACTGGCTCATGTACATGGCTGCTGACCCATCTCAGAGAAGCAAGGTCTCGTCTGCATTTCAGGAAGCTCGACAGCATGGCCTCGCAATCGGCAGAGCTTGGGCTTTCAGTGACGGTGGAGACAGACCCCTTCAGTACTCACCTGGTTCCTACAACGAGCAAATGTTCCAGGCAAGAAGTTTGATGTTTGTGTCTTTGGGAAGTTGTGTTCATCATCTGTTTGATGAATTGCGTCTGTTCCTAATGTTTTAACTTATGGGCTTGTAGGGGCTGGATTTTGTGATATCTGAGGCTAAGAAATATGGGATTAAGCTGATTCTGAGTTTTGTGAACAATTATGACCAATTTGGAGGGAGGAAACAGTACGTGAACTGGGCAAGAAATCAGGGGCAATCTATAAGCTCTGATGACGATTTCTTCACAAACTCACTGGTGAAACAATACTACAAGAACCATATCAAGGTCTGAGTTTCTATTCTTTCCTCACTGTTCTTTGCTTCATTTTCATCCCCTAATTTTAGTAATGGGGCAGATGAAGCTTTTGTGCCTTTTTAATTAGAAGATAAATTTCTCATTTTGTGACACAGACTGTTCTTACAAGACGCAACAGCCTCACCGGAGTTGCTTACAAAGATGACCCAACGATAATGGCTTGGGAGCTTATGAATGAACCCAGGTGCCAGTCAGATCCATCGGGAAGAACAATTCAGGTAAAGGGGTAATTATGTCCCAAATGTTGCTTATGTTTGAAGTTACAAGATCTTCTCTCTCCCTTGAGTTTAATGCCATCTGGAAAATCTGCTGACCATTTTCAGCATTCACCTGCCTTACATCTGGAGGAAAGTTTAAAATATTTAGGATTGAGAATCTGGGGTTAGGATAAGTAATATTATTTATTCAGACTTTGCATTAAATAATGAGGGATTCAGGGGCTTTCTGATTTCTGACTAAAGATACAGGACAATCCAGATAGTTCTTTTCTTTTTAGGAATCGTCTGTTTTTTTTAGAACTTGCTTAATTTGGTTACGTCGGGCAGGCTTGGATTACAGAGATGGCTTCTCATGTGAAGTCCATTGATAGCAATCATTTACTAGAAGCTGGCTTGGAAGGGTTTTATGGGCAATCATCTCAGAAACAGGAAGACAACCCCAATTTTCAAGTGGGAACAGATTTCATTGCAAACAACCAGATTCCTGGCATTGATTTTGCGACTGTTCATTCCTATCCTGATCAATGGTAAGTCCCCCCAAAGAAAGCTTCCAATTTAATCTTCAGTTCTGTTTTTGAACCTGGGTAGTTTTCTGGATTCAACAGGTTAGAAGGCTCAACTGATGAAAAACAAATTGCATTTTTGAACCACTGGCTGGACAACCACATTCAAGATGCTCAGAACATCCTTCACAAGCCGGTTCTCTTCGCCGAGTTTGGAAAATCTTTGAGAACTTCTAGTTCTAAAGAGAGAGACGAGCTCTTCAATACTGTTTACTCAGCAGTTTACTCGTCAGCAAGGGGCGGTGGTGCAGCCGTTGGAGGCTTGTTCTGGCAGCTTTTCGCTGAAGGAATGGACTCCTTCAGGGATGGGTACGAGGTGATCTTAAGTGAGAACACCTCAACTGTCAACCTCATCACTGAAGAGTCTCAGAAGCTTAACCACATCAGAAACATGTATCTGAGGCTGGCCAGGGCACAGAGGCAGGCTGCGAATGGTGGCAGTAATACAGGAAACTAAAAATTAAGAAACTAGTAGTGGCATAATAGTATTAAGGAAACTGTTTTCAGATTTCCGATTACAATTAAATCTTATAACCTGATGTGTGAGGAACTGTGACATCCACATATACCACTATAATAATGTAGTTTTTGCACGTCTATGTTCTTTTCTGCTGTAACATTGTTGGTACTGCCAAATGAAGTGCATAGAATACTAATGCCTATTGGTTTTATTTATATTTGAAAATTTTCAGAGGAATGTATGATTTACTTGTACAGCACCATGAAACTTTACCACTATATTTCTCACTGCAAAAACAGCAAAGGCCGCACATGAAGTGCTTTCAGCTTATATCCCTTGCCTGATCCGAAAGTAACTTTAGACAAATGTTCCGTCCTTAATCGTTGCATTCTTCAGTATTACTGTGATTCCAGATCTAATGTAGAATCCTTCTTCTGGTCTGTCCGCTTCTTCAACACCCTGTGGAAGTTAAGACTTTATCAATATCATGCAACAGAACATCAGCTGAAACTGAAAATACCGGTAATCTTGTGAGTAACAAAAGAAGTACTTACATCTGCATTTGTGATGACCACGTCTTTTCCAATCTTGGCATTCTTGTCAATTATGCAATTGCTTCAAGAATACAATTGGGAGGAAGCTTCAGTAAAGAGATTCTTTTCAACAAAAAACAAAAGGAATTTTATAAAGAAATACGTGTTTGACTGTCTTTATTAATCTTTCTTAGCATTTCCTGTGTCCGTGCAAATGAGCATGTTTCTGTGAGAGAAAGACAAAAACTAAGAGGGGCTTTCTGAACACACCTGATTTTGGTATTTTGTCCAACACCAATTGGGACCTTTCCTTCCGCTAGCAGAGAGGCGATTTCAGCTTCAGTTTGGTAGTAGTCTGCGCCCATCATCATAGCATCCTGGACATATTCAAAATAATAATAATAATAATAATAAATATCTTATTCTATAAATAAAGTACACATTCATGCATGCATTCTATTGTAACTGATTTTAATTAAGAGATAGCTAGTATTGCTCTTACAGCTTGAGGCGTTTTCAGTCTTGACTTCTCATACTTAATTTTTTTTTCCTTATAATTTACTTTCATTTGCATATTGTCTGCTATCATTTTAGTTTACAGAATTGAGTAGTGACCACATTTAAAATTGTTTTAACAAGTGAATGGCCAATGGTGGCTTCTTAAGTGAACGGAACCAGAAATGAATTAGCAGCCTGGCTCCTAAAGTGAATGGCCAACATGTTGACAAAAGTTCTTTTAAGTCCTAGGTAGATTGAAGGAAGAAGCAAGAAGGACCACCTTAAGCTCAACACCAGACTCTAAACGTGAGCGCACACCCACTACAGAGTGTTGCACACTACATTCTCGCAAGAAGCAACCATGAGAAATTATGGCATCCACGATCTGCAACAACCAATTAAGCCATGAGATGAATAACCCTATGAATCACAAGGATGCAAACTGATTTGTCATTGCAATCATACCCTGCATTTGTCAACTTTGGTTGGTGGCAAGAATCTAGGAGATGTAAAGAAAGGTGTTTTAGGATTGCAAAATTCAAACTTTGGTGGCTGCATGGGGAACACACAGCAATCAGTTGACAACATAAAACGCAGATGGTATTATTTTAAAGTGGTGACAAGCAGACAGTTCGCAAATAAAGGTGTTTCATAGAAGTTAGACAAACCTGCTCTGTCAGCGCCAAATTGGCATCAAAAAAGGATTTTATTGTTCCAATATCTTCCCAATAGTCATTGAATAAGTATGCCTGCAAATATCAAGGCAGGCAGGAAGCAGACAGCCCGACAGTTTTAAATCCAGAATATAAATTTATAAGTTCATCTCAAATTTTGCTAAGATTTGCAGAGACCACATAAGGTGTAAAGGTTTATTGAAGTATCCTCACCTGGACATTATGTTTCTTCAGGGCAGATGGAATAATCTCGGAGCCAAAGTCATTGCATGATGGGTAGCTCCACTTCAGAAGCTTTAGTAGGACATCAGTTCTAAAAACATAAACACCCATTGAAGCAATGTATGGAAATTTTGTAGCATCTTGCTTGGATAACCCTAAAAGAGTCGTATCAACTTGCTGTGGTGCAAATGTGAAACAAGCAAGAACCAAGATTAGGGGAAAACTATATCAGTTGCAAAAGAGTATGAAGCACTATATAAATGACATAACAAGGGCAAATAGAAGGTGTAATCTATGAAGGAGAAGGTGCAAAAACATACCATAGCTTTCAAATCAGAGCCCTTGGGTTTCTCAGCAAACTGGACAATGCGCCCTGTTTCATCCATCTTCATCAATCCATAATCAGATGCACGGCTGCCAAAAAAAAAAGAGAAGAAAAAGTAGAAGCAAGATTAATATCAAAATTATAAATGAAAATAACGATCTCATTATATAATGCTCTGACTAACATTAGATTAAAACAGAAGCAAGAACGCCTATGAGGAGATACTTTGAGTTACTAGGAAACAAATTCAATCTATGCATTTATATAACAGGATAGGGGAATCAAGGGCAATGATAATGACCATTAAGCTCTTTCTTAAAACTTAGAAGCATAGAACACATGAGACAAAATACACCAAAATACCTGTCATCCATTGGTACACATGAAACCGTGATGTCGGCGTCTGTGTCAATATGCTTCTGCAAGCACACATCAGTAAGTCAACAAGGTTTTTTAAGATACAAAATGCAAGCATGCAATAGGAGAAAAGAGTAGTCATTAGATTTGAAGCTGTTAGTGAATTGGATACCTGCACAAAATCCATGTAGTCCATACGGTAAAGATGATCGCCTGACAGGATCAATACATGTTCCACATCTTTGTTCTTTGCATTCTGGATGAATACCATCAAACGTATCTAGTGGACTTTGTTCAATGATTTCAGCTTGAACAGAAAAAAGCTTAATCACTTACCTCAAAGACCCATATGAATTGCCTTACAGCATCTGCTGTTCCTTGGAACCACCTCTTTCCAGCTTCACCTGGTGTTTGAGTGGCTGCAAGAACCTGTTGCACACAAATTTGGCATCAGTAGGAGCTTTTGTAAAATAATTGGCTTGCATCACATCTCAACATGTCTAACCTCCACAAAACCATCTCCAAAATTCACACCATTAAAATTGTATGTGCGAGCTAAGTGTCGGTTGAGGGAAAAGGAGTTAAACTGAGTTAAGATAAATATCTTGTTTATCCCACTGTTAATGCAATTACTCATTGGGATATCAATCAACCTATAACAGCCTCCGATTGGAACCTGCAATCTCAAGAAAATCATAGTGAACTTCTAATACAAAATTCCATAAAATTTGTTTTTATAAATCACTTGTAATCATCAGACAATTGGCTCTTTAATTCATAAAAATTTAATTTTCTCTGCATAATCTATAGAATCCCTTATAAGGTAATGATCTCTTACAGCTGGCTTGGCTCTTCTACTGGTCAGAGGAAACAGTCGTGTCCCAGCACCGCCACCCAATATGATGGAAGCTACATTTTTTGGATCTGCTCTTGTAGTCTCAAACATTGGTGCCTGAAATGCCTGACAAATAAAATTCAATCAAATGCTAACAATCAATGTCCAAAAAACATGTGAAAAAGAAACATCTGGTTCTTAGCATAAGAAACCAAACTAATCCTTGAGTGAATGAAATTTGAGACTAAATTCTGAGAATAAACACATCATTGAAAAACTTTCTAGATGGAACACTAATTTCTGAGGTTAAACTTTAATGGTTGAAATAAAGGAGTGTGATACTGAGGCCAAAAAGGAAAAAGTAACGATGATGTGTGCTTACCAGAGCCTCCTCCTGAATATCTGGGGTGATCACTGAATATACAATTCCATGCCTAGCCTTTTTGGTTCCCTTTTCAATTTTGAAATTCTTCCACAAATGGGTACCCATATAAGTGCTCTTTAGGCCTCCCTTAACATTTTCACCCCAAAAGATACACCCTCCATTAATGAAACCACCTTTGCTGACACTAACCGGATTGGCATTAGCCCTCAATGCCACGCAGCAAGCTTCCATTGCTGGATTAATCAAGAATCCAAAATTCCCGGATGAATCTCAGACGATACCAGCTGGAAAAAAGGAACCTAGAACGTAGAATCAAGAAGAATGCAACCTTTAGATAATTATGAAGAAAGAGAAAAGCAAAAGAATTTTCCGGTGAACCCACACTTTCACCGACTCAAGCAGCATCAGATACAACTAAGAAGAAAACTACTATTAAAAATGAGACGAGCCAGATTACTAAACCCGCAAGATCCAAAATTGGAAACAACCCCAGATCGGGGAAAGAATTATCAAGAACACCCAGATGGCACAAAATCAAGACTTTGGAGAAAATACAGCCAAAAGTAGCTCAGATCACGAAAATTATAGTGGGAAATTAAGTCTGTTGGTTAGAAATGTGGACAGAGAGAAAAGTGGAATGGAATTGAAGGAGCAATTAATTTTTATTGGCTTGTGAACCGTCAGGCCCGTGATCAGGAGTAGAAGCACCGAGATCCTGGAGATACTATAGTTTAATGATTGTAATTTGCATGAGAATACAAATAAAAATTCTCACTCTGTAGCATCCTGCCCCACCTCCCCTCCGATATTTTTTCCACCGTTTGCAGAAGCCACAGACTTTAATAGCATATAGACAATGGGAAAACCTTTTAAAAGAACTTTGATCAAATGTGATTGAAGAGTTCAAATTGTACAAGACTGTGAAATTATGATTATTGGATGAGAGTGAGATCCTCTCTCCTTACAATTATAATTATCATATAGGGTACTCTGAATAGTCAAATAAAATAATAAAATAAATAATAAAATGTGATAATGAATTAGTGGCTATCAAAAAGATGAATTTTTTTAACAATTTTTCTTTTTGAACAGATTAAAATTCAAGGAAAGTGAAATTGGGATTCAAACTCAGATCACAAGTGTGATGAATGGACCATTAGTGTATGTTTAGATAAATTTAAAAAAAGAAAAAGAAAAAGAAAAAAAGAACGGATAGAACTAAGGGAAGGGAGGAAAAGTAAAAGAATGAAAGTTATTTCGGGTATATGGAGAGGGCCACGTCGCCGGTGAGGAGGCACGGCGGGTGACAAGTGCGCGATGATGAGCCACAGACATAAAAGGCCGATATTTTGCGAATCGCAGGTCTCACGTTGTTGTCGTCTTCTCGGTTCTCACTATCTCTGTCTCTGTCGATTCAGAAAATTAGAGTTTGATGTTTTTATTGCTGAAATACTACGGAACAAGTATTACAAGTACGAAGTGCAAATCCAATAATTGAAAATAATTATAGTACATTGCAGCTAAACTAATTATAGATTAAAAATATAATAAAGATGGATAAAGCATGTTTCTCAAAAATGTTTTTTTTTATTATTTTAATTATATAATGGAAAACAATCATTTTTTATTTCTTATTTCACAACACTCACGTGTCATGCGATTCAAACTTATGATTTCTTACTTTCAATGAAAAGAAATAACCAGTGGCGGAGGCAGGGGGTGCGAGGGGCGGCGCTCGCCCCCCTGAAATTTGAAAAATTTACAAATTAGTATATGAAAAATTATTTAGCTCTTCTTGAACTTTGAAAATTTTAGCATCTTGCCCCCCATGAAAAAAATTTCTTGCATCTTGCCCCCCCTGAAAAAAATTTCTGGCTCCGCCTCTGGAAATAACCACTAAATTATTTAAGTCGTTAACATATGTTTCTGGTATTAAACTACTTATATAAATAAAGAATCATAATAAAAAAGGGTAAGTCGTAACTAAATTAATTATAAAGGGTTGGGAAAGTTTCTCAAATACTAGTCATCCATCCATACTATAGGTCTTCCTTTTGGAATATCTTCATAGGTGTTGCTTTTGTAATGTATACTTGAGATTATGGATGAAGTACTCCTTGTATTTCTTATTGTAATAAATCATTTTGATTCATTTAAAAATAAAAATCAAGTTTCTCAAAATTTTCTTTTTTTTTTTTTATTTTATATTACATAATAAAAAATAATTATTTTTTGATCTTTTAACATACTCTATCAGTATATTATATGAGTTGAATTTAAGATTTTTTTTTAGAAGAAAATTATCATTAATTTATTTTAGTTATTGGCATTTTATATGTTTATTTTAAAGTCTTAACATTTGTAAATTTACTTGTTAAAGCATTTTCTTATGGTTCACAAAGGTCACATATTAAAAGATATAAAGAAGGAAACATAGTTTTCAAAGACGATCTAATAGTTAAGAATTTGAGTTTTTATATTAGAGATTTTAAGTTCAAGTTTAAGATAAATAGAGAGGGCTCTAGAAAGGGAAAGATTATTTCATATTATATAGATTATCATTCAACATACCTAATAATAATAATAATAATAATAAAGATGGATAATAATTATGGTCTTCCTTATTTTTGATTCCCTCCTTTACATTAAGCACTACACATTGAGGAAAGGAAGATAATTCTTATGATTGTTACTTTTGAAACGGTAATGTTATAATTACAATACCATATATGATTGTAAGTTTATAATCTTAAGTAGTATTTAATGAAATATGATGTAGTATTAAATGAATGGATTCATACAATATCATGAGTGAATATCTTAATAAAAAAAAATTAATTATATAATAATACATTATATTATACACTTATAATACTACATATACAATATGAAATGATATTGTAATGCTTAATAGGGTAGCCACAAATCATGAATTGGTGGTGCATGGGCCCTAAACTTTATTTTTTGTGGTCTGTCCAACTGAAGACTGGAAGTGGTTGTTTTGACAAACTTGTATGGGCATGAATGTTCAAATATTCGTAAAGGAGTGAAAAGCACTTGCAATTCAGTGTAACAAGACACTCATACTGCAAAACGAATCTCAATTTGCCCAAAACAGGAAAAATCCAAGACAAATACTTCCAAAATAAGGAGAAAAAAAAAAAAAGGACTGATGTTTATAAATGGGTTTGAATAAGAGAGATCCAAGCACTCTTTCTTATAGGCCCAAACCCAAAACGGACCGGATTATGGTATTCGGCCCAGTCACCCAATCAGTAGTAAGAAAGCCCAGTAATCCTGTCTCCCCCTCCATTTGATCTCCAATTCTCCGTCACACAAATTCCTGCATCATCTCCTTCCTCCCTCCCTCACTCTCGCTGAGCACACACAGCAATGGCGTTTACTCTGTCCAATTCATCCCTCCAAATCAAACCTTCTCGTCCCGCCGTCTTTCCCATAAGAAGGGTTTCAAAGGCAGCGGCGGGGAATTATCGGACGCACGTGACCTGCAGGAAGAAGGATATACACCCGGAGTTTTATGAGGATGCGAAGGTGTATTGCAACGGGGAGCTGGTAATGACGACGAGTGGAACCCAGAAGGAGTACACGGTGGATGTTTGGTCCGGGAACCACCCTTTTTACCTGGGAAATCGGTCGGCTGTTCTAGTGGAAGCTGACCAGGTGGAGAAGTTCAGGAAGAAGTTCGGACAGTTGTCGGAGATCATGGAGATTCCTGTGCTTAAGGGCGAGATTGTTTTGCCCCCCAAGCGCAAGGGTGCCGCCCCTGCTAAAGGTGGAAAGAAGAAGTAGACTAACAGAGTCTTGAAATTGTTCCATTCTGAAGGTATCATGATTTCGTTTCTCCAATTGATGAATGCCTGAATTGTGTTCGATATTATATCTGAATAGAATATGGTATTTCGAAATTGTCTGAGAATTGCTGTTCTGTTCTTGATTTTATTAATTTGGTTCTGGCTGTGTCAAAAAGATTGCATCTTGGCAATACTTATTCTCTTACAAAAACCTTGTTGGAGTAAATTGTAAATTTCTAGTGAGAAAAGATCATCTGTCCACGAAGCTGAATCAATTTAGGCAATAAATTCACACTGAATAGCTGCAATCAACAAATTCACGTATGATTTGTTAATTATAGACTAGTATGATTACAGCAAGCAGTAGTAGATAGAAACATTATGTCACAAAACCCTGGCATGTTTAGTTTACTCTGCTTCTTGCAGATTTTTGCTTACCCCATCTGCACTTGTGCATTCCATGGACATCAGATTATCAGAACACACACAAATCACTTTATTTATGAATGTAAAAGAGCTTAAAATTTTTGGACAACTCCATTTGCGTTCACTTAATCCCTATCCATTTTCATGGACCTGGATTAAAATGAAATCTCAAAAGGTATAGGTTGGGAGATGAGATCACTGAATAGCTTAGCTTAGCCATATCTGTCTTCTCTCTCAATGAAAGGTAAGACTACGACTACGACTTCCTTTCTATAGCATATTGAAGAATTTACATGGTATTCATGCTCCCTCAAAGAGTCAAGGTAAAGGATGGAGATGAAGAATTCATGAATTGCCTGTTGTCTTCTTTATGTCAGCATCAGAATTTGGAAACTCTTCATTTCCTTGTTGGATGGAAAAGATGGGCCTCTGTTCCTCAAACTTAGCCTTTTATAGACGGGCTTTACCAAAGTTTATCTTAGCCTTTTTAAGTGTTAAGCCCAAGTCTTGGTTGTGTCAAATTTCTCTTGAGGCTACAAAGTACAAACTTTCTGGAATTTGTTTGATTTTAATGATTCCCACAGCATTCCACCATTCCATGTTTTAAATCAATATTCTGAATCTAACAAAATGGGTTGCTTATATCTTTGTGGGATTTGGAAATTAAGACTGAATTAGAAGATTTAGAAGAGATTTCATTTGAATTTAAACCAATATATTATAGAATCCTGTATTCTCTTTTGTACTTGCTTGTATCATATTTTCCTATCCTTTTTCTTTATGACAAATAAATGCATTTTTTTTCTAAAATAAATAAATAAATAAATAAAAGATTGATTAGATCCAAATGTTTTTTATTTTCTTAAATCTATCATGTTTCATGGGTCAAAACAAATTAATAAATGTACATGTTGGTAATGTTTTGGTTTTATGGTTAAATATGTATATTTTTGGATGGTCAATGTGTCTCCAAAATGTTGGTAAAAAAAAGAAAAAAAAGTCTTCAAACTAGTACATTCCTTTATACCTTAAAATTTTCTTAGATGTTATCCTAAAACTAGATTCAGGATGTAAACTCTAAAATGACAATTTCTTACTAATACACCCAATCTTAAGATTTATGTTCAAATGAATGTTTTTAATGTTTTTATATAAAGAAATCTAATAAATCTTTTATACTTTAATTTCATAAAAATCTAAATTTGAAAATATAATGTACATAATCTTTTAGTAATCAGCCCAAGCAAATGTTAACGAATAAATACTTATGAAAATACCGTTTAGATTTTAATTAATTAGAGTATATGCATCATGTCATGAACATACTAAAATTTTCTTTTATTACTAACAGATTATTGTGGTACGAAAAAAAGAAAGAAAATTCATCAGTTAAATCCTTCTCCGTCACTTTCTCAGGAAAATCCTCTTCTCTTGATTCTCCGTATCTTCAATGATTGAATCTTTCCCTCTTCCTTTCCATGTCGGACCTCCCTGCCTTGCTTTAAATTATATTTATACTCCTAAATAACCTTTCAATGGCCCTGCACCGATTTCCTTCATCATTTTTTGCCATGAATTTCTTTGTGCTCTTATGCAAGGTTCTTCTGGCTTTATTAGTCTTCTGTTTCGTCTCCAAGTCGATCCCTGATGCTCGCAGGATCGCAGGAGACTTTTATCAGGGATGCTTCCTCGTTTTTGAGAGTCCTCTGTACAGTTTTATTCTCATTAACATCCTCACTGTCGTCATTTTCGTTTTGCCCCTACGAACAACCACTGCACCAGACACCCACGACGAGCATGTTAGATCCTACTGGAGTACCAGCGAAAATTTGGCGGAGGAGAAAGAAAGACAAATTATTCCTGCAGACAATGCAGTTTTCTCCGCGGAGAAAACATCTAGAGAGTCAGAGCAGTGGTGGGTTCCTCCAGTGACTCAAGATGCTCTGGCTCTGAGTACAGTTGCTGAGACCAAACCTACGGTTCAGGAACAAGGGCAAGTAGTTACCCACTCGAGGCCTCCTCAATCATGTGAGGAGAATTCACGAGAAATTACCTCCTTGAGACCTCCCCAATCGTCTGAGGGGAATTCACAAGAAATTGTCTACTCTCGTCCTTCACGAGTATCAAACCTTGAAGAGAATTCACAAGCGCTTGTCAGTTCATCATGGCCTTCTCAAAGACCGGATCGTGGAGAGAACTCACAAGTGTGGAATCCTCAAAGATCAGATCATGGACAGAATTCACAAGTTTGGTATCCTCAAACATCGAACCACAGGAGAAATTCGCAAGAAGTTGCCTTCCCACGGCCTCCTCAAGTATGGAATCTTGAAGGGAATTCACAAGAAAGTACTTATCTATCGCCTCGCCAAGGATCAAACTATTGTCAAGATTGTCAGAAGCATCGAACTTACTTACAAAACAAGATAAAAGCAATTGGATCCATAAATACAAAGCATGTTGTTAATACAGTCGAAGTGAGTAAGGAGGGCTACTGGAGGACCCAATCGGTGACTTCCAAGGAGATAAAATTCTGGTTGAGCGGGAAGATAGGGTACTCGAAGTAAAGATGATTACTTTGTTGCACGATTAACAAATTGTGTTTAAGTTGGTTTTTGGTTTATTGTGATAGGTTTAATTTAGATCAAGGTGAGAGGCTTAGACCTTTATAATTACCATGCTCCCACTAATTCCTAGTTAATTGTGCTAGGTTTATCACTTTGTGACTATTTCTCTCCCCTTTGTTTTCTTTTTTTTCTTCTTTTTTTCTTTTAATCTTGAATAGTACAATTGAAGACAATATCCCCTGACTCTTCCACCCCACATACTCCCCATACGAAAAAACTTAAAATCTCTTGGTTTTACCAAAAGTAGAAAAATTTACTACACTGGAATACTTCAGTAGCACTACTTCTCTTTCTTTTCTTTTCTTTTTTTTTTTTTTTTGTTTACTTAAGATATAAGTAGATATTAACTCCTTATTAAAACTTCTCCCTTTTGTTTATTCCAAAACTAATAATTTGTAATTTAACTGATATTTGGTGATAAAGTGCATGTTTTCCCTAATTTAAACGATTATGTTCAAATCTTATTATTCCTCCATTGTCTTGCTAGGAGACGTTAGTTATGAGATATATGGGCCTTCTGTCACTCAAGTACAATCTTGATGGACGGCCTTTGTGGGGGATTGGGAAAAAGTATTTAGGTGTTTTTGAGTGGATAGCCCAAGTCTAGTTGTGAAAATACATTCCATTCCTGGTGTATATTGAGTTGGGCTGAAAATACATTCCTTTCCTAGTGTGTATTGAGAAAAGGAGTTTGGGCCTATTTTTTTGAGCCGTTTAGTCAAGTTAGCGCTTGTAATTATAAAAGGGTTATAAAGTTTTTTATGCACATTATTTAAATAAAATTTTCATTGTTTTTTTATTATGAATAATTAAAATTTATTTATTTTGTATTTTATTTTTAAAAAAAAAATTATTTTTTTAACTAAAAAATTGTAATAAATTTCAATTAAAAATTTGACAATTATAATTTTATATAAGTAGATATTAACTCCTCATTAAAACTTTAATTTACATCAAGGGACCTGTATAATTATCATGTGACTAGGTCTTATCCATGAACCAAAATAAAATCATTGATTTCTCGTGGGAATAATAAAATGCTTCCTTTCAAATATGGATAAAATAGTAGTTGAAACTTCCATTTCATGAAATCCTTCCATGCACTTTATCCCCAAACACACATGAATTCGAAGTCTTTTTGACAAAAAAAAAATTTTTTAATGGTACTTTTGATTACTTTAGGTACCAATAATTAAATAACATTTTTACCATTGTCTGCCTAATAATTTTTAAGAAAATTATTGGTATACCTTATAAAATTATACATTTTATTATACATTGACAGTTTCTGTTATTTGTGCCGTTAAAATTAACGATTTCCATTATTTGTGTCATTAAATCTAATGGTTTTTGTTACACATTAACATAAATCATTAATATATAATAAAGTATGTAACTGTATAAGGTATACATATCATTATTTTAATTTTTATTCTAAGAGAAAACAAGTTTCCATATTAATGGAGCTTCTATTTTCTCGTTTCACTTTCCATATTCTTGCTTTATGGATAATATAAATTTATCAAACTTTCAATTATATTCTTCCCGTGTTTGGTGGATATGTTTACGTTAAAAGGCGGTAGGATTGATCTTTGATGTGTGAATTATAGAGGAATAGAAGGGCCTTTTGGGCTTTAGCAGCTTATCCTTCTCGTGTGTGGCCTCCCAAGTGTTTGATGAAATGTCTCTTAGGTAATATGTTTTTAAATTTTTGCTCTCTTTGCAACATAAGTGACAACTAGGGCTTAAAGCCAACTTTGGCTGCGTTATTGTTGCTGAATGGTGATCCTTTCCTATAAACAGTTTAGAGAAAAGGGAACACCCTTTTTACGAGCATTTCTGGCTGATTATCAAAGAAAGGGTGTTTTTTTAAAATAAAATAAAATAAAATAATATCGGCAACAAAGGATATTATTATGGGGGTATAAGGGTATGAGGACTGGCTTTCTAACCCGTTATAATACATGCTTTTGACAATCTTTCTAATTAACATCAGTCCGTTTCAATCAAATAAATGGGTTTACCTGTTCTCAACTTTGTGCTTTTCTAAAGCTTTGTGGATGTATGGAGCTTTTTCATTTTTCGCTGCTCGTTGGAGCATTCTAAAAGTGAAAGTAGTCAATCTTTCCACATTTAACTTTTTACTTTTCTTCAAAGCGTGTAATCAATGCATTCATATCATACATGAAGAGAAAGTTGGAGATATCTCTAGATGGTCTTAGGTTAAGGGATAAACCCCATGCATTAACATGAGAAACAGTGGGGTGAAAAAAAATCTGCACCTATATCTGAAGACAAATCCTGTCCAAAGGATGTCCGTTATTCATATCTTCTTCCTCCTTTTTCCTACCTGGGACCAACCCTTGATGTTGTTTTGATTTACTTATCCTTGAAAACTGAGAGGTGACTTGTTTGGTTCTGTTCTTTACTTTTTTGCTAACTACTACGGTGCTTTAAACCCAATGAAAAGACCACTAAAATAAAAAAGAGATTGGAAATTGTTAGTTATTGACAAAAGCAAGTTGAGAATAAGGGGGCTAACTAATAACTATGCAATGTTTGATTAACATCAGTTGATTCATATATTTTGTTAATGATTTAAATAATTTAATATTATAATAATTTTTTAATAAAAATAAAAAAATTTAAATTTAAATTACATAATATGAGAATATAATAAATTTAAAAATAAAAAAATAATTATTTTTATTATATAATTAAAAATTAAAAATAGTGTTTAACTAAATTACATTTCTACGTGTAGATTGTAGTAGGAGAAAAATTGCAAATGGAAAGCAAAATTATTTTAGATAATCATAAATTTTTTTGAATAAATTACAAATTAAAGAAAAAGAGAATCAAATTTCAATATAAGTAATTAAAAGTGTTCCCATCAATATAGCAAAACTAGTAAGGTGAGCTGTGAGGTGCGATTT